CCTTGTGACTCAGTTTCCCAACACTGATACTCTACAAACCTGAACATTTTACAAACCTATATAAACAAGAACTTATTGCCATGTGGAAAATATATGAGCCAATTTGTGGACACACCTAAACTCCAGCTTTCTTCTTTCTTTCAGCAATGTTCGCTCAAATTAATGTGTGTGTGTGTGTGTGTGTGTGTGTGTGTGTGTGTGTGTGTGTGTGTGTGTGTGTGTGTAAGAGAAAGCAGGAAAAAGGAAGATAGAAGCTAGCCACCAGTGGCTCACACTTCTAATGCTAGCTACTCAGAAAGCTGAGATCTAAGGATCAAGGCTCAAAGCTATCCTGAGTAGGATTTTATGTGAGTCATTTATCTCCAATTAAAGACTAAAAAGCTGAATGTAGAGCTGTGGCTCAAGTGGGAAAGCACCAGCCTTGAGCAAAAAAGTTAAGCGACAGAATCCATGCTCTGAGTTCAAGCCTTACTACCAGCACAAAGAAGAAGGAAGAGGAGGAGGAAGTGAGATAAGTGGAAAAGGGGAGGGAGAGGAGAAGAAAACAGAGAGAGAGTGGAGAGGAAGAAAAGAGGGAGAGGCACAAGGAGGGGGAGAGAAGGAGGAGGAGAGAAGGAGGGAAAGGGACAAGGGGAAGGAAAGGGAAGAGGAAGGGGAGGGGAGTGAGAGGAGAGGAGAGATCCTTTTTCACCTGTAAAGAAACAGAGTGCATTGTTTCCATTGTGAACACACACACACAAATGATGTGCTGTGAGGATAACCACCTCTGTCTCTAGTGTGGGTGTGGGTGTGTTCCTCTGGTATGAAATGCAGTGGATCTGAATATTTTGTTTTCTGTGGAATCAGAATCCAAGCACAGGCTTTTCAGGTCTGGAAGAACACAGCTTTTCCCTGTCTCTCACCCTTCCAAAGAGAGCTTGGGAGTCAGGCCTGGCTACCTCTTCCATTCACAAACACCTGTAGATTTTTGATGAATGTAAACATCTTTGTTTCTGTTTATCTTCCTCTTTTCTTTTAGCTACTTCAGCTGTGGTTTCATCCTTCTTGATGCCAAGTCATGGGCCATTGTTCTAAGTCAGTTACGAGGTCTTTAGGTTAAGCAGTGATTGAGACCATAAACAGTTGGTGATGGCTTCCTATTGCACCCATAGAGATTGTATAACCCTAGAAAAGGAAAAACAACACAGCACTTCTCTAAAATTTGACTTCTCTGTTTCTCTTTCTTTCTTTCCTTCTGTCTGTCCTTTCTTTTTTCCTTTCTTTCTTCCATTCTTTCTTTCATGTCAGTACTAGAACTTGAACTCAGGGACTCATGTTCTAGCTTGGCTTTTATGCTGTTCATTTGAGGCCTGGCACTCTACCACTTGAGCAACACTTGTAATTCTAGTTCTTCACTGGTTAACTGAAAGTAACTGTCTCTCAAACATTTTCTGCGTGGGCTGGCTTCAAAATGAGACCCTGAGATCTTAGCCTCCTAAGTAGCTCTAGGGTTATAAGTATGAGCCAGAGTCTCTGTTTGAAAAACTCAAGTGAATTTTGGTTACTATGACCATGAATACCCCAGGATCATATCATCGAGTAGAAAAACAAGACCAATTCCTATTTATGTGTCATCTGTATTTTGGAAAGTGGATCAGTTTCCTGTTCTAAGCCAGAAAGTATGTAAACATGTGTTGATAACATTAATGTATTTTCAGTTAAAGTATTTATTCCACGTCTTTACAAATGTACAAATAATACCCCAAATCATCACCACCACTGACTCATTTTTATAAAAATCCTTACGTGGGACCTTTTCTTCCTCACCAACTTCCTAATCTAATAATCATTTTCTTTGGAAGGGTGGCGACAGGATTTGATGTGACAAAAGTTTAGATTTCCAGCAATCATCACATAGCCATTTAACAGCCTTCAGGAACTGAACTCCTTTAACCAATTAATGGAAGACTACTTCATACCCCCCAACATATGTTATGAACTCTGGGAAATTCAAAGCTGCTTACAAGAAGAAACAAGAGGAACATGAATGCAAAGGCTGGTGATATTTGATTATACTATATTGTAAAATGCTTATTGCAAAAAAAGAGAGTGCCACTTTGATCTTACAGAATTTCTAGATTTTGGTGAGGCACCAGTAACTCACACTTGTAATCTTACTACTCTAGAGGCTCAGACCTAGAGGATCAAGATTTGAGGCCAGCCAAGGCAGAAAACTCCTTGAGATTCCATCTTCAGTTAACCAGAAAACAAATCTAGCGATATGGCTCAAGTAGTAGAGCACCAGCCAAAAATGTGAGGCTCAGAATTCAAGCCCTAGTAACAGAAAAGAAAAAAGTTCAGATTTTATTTTTTTAGTCAAAGTCTCATTATGTAGCCTAGGCTGACCTAGAATTCATTATGTAGCCTGAACTGACCTCAAATTTGCAAACCTTCCAGTCTTGGCCTTCCTACTGCTGGAATTATAAGCATACACCACCACACCTGCCTCCAAAAATTTCAAATTCTACATCAAGCATCCTGATTCAGATTTTTTTCCCTGTACCTTGGCTAGGCAAGAAGGGAAAGCCACTTCCACAGAGTAGGAAGGGAACAGGTTTGGCACTCTGGGAGCTAAACTATGCGAACTTGGCCCGATTCCTTTCCTTCTCTTAAGCTTCAGTATTTTGACCTGCAAAATAAAGATGAAAATATCCACAGAGAAAGGACTCAATCCTCCAGCTAAAAGCCACGGTCTGGAGCTGGCAAGGGGAAGTTTTGTAAGTGGTAGCAATTGTTATTATATAACGATTCCAGCCCTTCTCAACACTTGGCCTCTTGCTTTGGATAAAGCCACTGCGGTGGGTCTCACACGAGTGTGGGTCAGGAATCAGCTTTCAACATCCTCTTCTAAATTATCTCTGTTCTCTGTTTGGGGTTTTTGTAAGTGAGTTCTGTTCCCTCATTCCTGCCCCCCCCCTGCCCCCCACCCCAATCACTAAATTCAGAACGTTCCTACTTTATTTTCCTCTTTTATTTTTTGGCCAGTTCTGGGGCTTGAAGTCAGGGCCTGGGCACTGTCCTTGAGCTTCTTTTACTCAAGGCTAGCACTTGGCCTCTTGAGTCACAGCACCACTTCCAGCTTTTTCTGTGTCTGTGGTACTGAGGAATTGAACCCAGGGCTCCATGCATGCTAGGCAAGCATTCAACGAGTAAGCTGCATTCCCAGCTCCTCAATCTTCCTCTTCTGAATAATCATTCATCTGTGAAGGAAGAACTACCTCTGATATTTGAATGGGATTTCTAACTTTTCCAGGTGCTTTTGTGTCTCTTTGTGCTTTTATTCTTCTGAAACTTGTAAGAACTGTAAAATACCAGTGCTTATTTTCTCATGCTGTACAGTAGGAAGAAAGCACAGGGGTTTTCACCATTTGCTAAAGGTCACAACAACCAGGCTTCCACAAGACTCCCATGTTCACCCAGCTCTTCTTCCCCACCTTTTTCTACATGACTTCCATGTGTGTGATTTCCACCACAATGCTGCGCCTACCTAGAGCTGATCTCATTTATTTCTCTGCTTTACCAAGAAACCATTCGGAGCATTCCATTGTGCAAATGGTGAGATCGTTGGCAATCTTCTATTTATTCCTTCAGGAAGTATCGAATGCCATTTGCCAAGCCTTCTTCTAGGCACTCAACACAGGGTTAAACAGACAATTTCTACCCTCATGAAGTTCACTTGCTGCTGAGACAAGCCTCCCAATAAACAAATAAGTAAAATATTTGTACTCTTAGGGATTGGTAGGGAGAAAAATCAAGCAGGGAAGAGGGATGGAAGGTGGAGGTGGATGTTGTCCGTAAGCCTGCGGTGGGGAGAGAGGCGATGAGATTTTAGATCACATGGCACTGCAAAGGTGGCCTCTGAGTGAAGATTGAAGGACAAAAGGGAGCTAGATGTTGGGACATCTGGAAGAAGAAAGTTCTGAGCAGCCTCGGCCAGCAGAAAGGCCAGAGCTGGATGTGTTCCTGAATGGATTGAGAAACAGCAAAACTGGCGGAAGAGCCTCAGCCCAGGGAGCTAATGAGCTGAAAACAGGAATAGGCAACAAAGCCAGGGAAGTCAGAGCCAGAGCAGGTGGGGCCTTGGGAATCCTTGTAAAGGATTTGCTTTTGTTGGGAGTCAAAGGCAAAGCCACTGCAGGGGTTGGAGTGGTGGAGTGTTAAATGACTTTCACAGCTGTTCTGTTGAGCACAAACTCAAGGGAAATGGAGCAGGAGGGAAGCATTGAGCGTTGTTGAGGGAGCCAGACACTCCTCTAGGTGCTTGGTGTTAGTTGATAGCACCCTCACCTCCCACCTATCCTCTGATGAGCTATGGGAAACGCATACACTGTCATTAAGAACATCAAGGCCTTGTTAGTGTCTTTTTGACCAATAATCTGTAGGCCAGTCTAAGCTAAGCTTCTGAAGACTTTTGTAAAGCATTAGCTAGTGCTTTTACTTCAATGTGTGTGTGTGTGTGTGTGAGCACGCGCGTGTGTGCGTGCGCACATGTGCATTTGCATACCAGTACTGGGGCTTGAATGCAAGACCTCATGCTCTCACTTGACCTTTTCCTCAAAACTGGTACTCTACCACTTGAGTGGCACCTCCATTTCAGGCTTTTTTATTTTTTTTTATGGCTCTTTGGTGGTAAAGGTCTAAAGGACTTTTTTGTCCAGGTTGGCCTCAAACTGCAGTCCTCAGATCTCAGCCTCCTGATTAGCATGAGTCACTGGTAACCAGCTTTCAATATTCTTAAAGCACACCATTTAGAAAGTTGCTTGGGCTAAAACATCAACTTCTACTATTGACTGGCATTAGCTTGGACTAGGGTCAGCTTTCTGTGGTAATCAGAATGTTGAGGTTGAGAACTAAAACCTACCCATAACTTTTTAAAGGAGAAAAACGGATGAATCCTTGGCAAATGGGGTTTACTCTGAGGACTTAATTTTTTTCAAACCATGGGCCCACTGTGAGAGACAGTCAATTGTATGGTCTTTGGTAGTAATGTAAGGAGAAGCATTGAAACAGGAGATGGCATAGGTTTCATCTCCATTCTTGCCCAGAAATCTCATTCTTGATTCCTGGGTGGGTCAGGGGACGCGTGGTTGGGAGCGATGCAAACCTATCCCTGTGCTTCAAGACCAACCCTAAGGCAAGGAGATAGCGTGGTCGAGGGACAAGGAGCTGCTGCTGAGAACCCACGCTACGGCTGTTTCCTCATCTGTGAAAATAAAGAGATTGATCTTAATGAATCCTGTGTTCCTTCATGGGTAGGTCTCAAAAATAGTATGGATGGGCCTTGTCAAAGGAGAACGGGAGAGAATGATTTCACTTAACCTTTGGTCATGAATCTAGGTAAACCACATAGCACTTAACACATGCACAGCCAGAAAACAGGAGTGTGTATAGTCTTTCCATCAGAGTGACCTAGTAAGTCTATCTTCACAGTTAATCATATTTTCCTAAACTCTGAGTGTAGACAAATATGATAAAACCTGGCTTTTTCCTGACTGCATTTTAGATATGTATTTTAAATCACTGTCCTCTCTAGGCCTTGAGTGGGTGTAAGGCACATTTTAGCTGCAGTTTCCTTACAACAGCACGAAGAATGTGGAAATACTTGTTTTGTTTTTTTATCCATCTCTGGAGTTCACGTGATGTAGTTGGAGAGCCAGCCATACTCTGGGGCTTATCATCTTGGCAGAAAAGGCAACTGTTAGAAGGTCAAACAAGGGCCCATTTCCTCTCTGCTGGCCAGCTGGGATCTTCCATTCCCAGACTGAGTTTCTTTCCTTCAGTTTGGCCTTAAGGCATTGTCCTCTAATAAAATGCAACCCACTGAGAAGATTTTCACTTACGTTGCTCTCACATTAACTGCTTATGATTTGAGTTGAGGCCAGCTTTTGATTAGTAGAGGAAGGGCAAATAGACATGTCCCCTTGGGAGTGAAGAGCTGGTTCCTTGTAGTGGAGAGCATTTCAGAATTCGGGTGCATAGGGCTGGGCATCAAAGTCACACTGTCTCTTCTGTTTCTCATGAACCAGTACAATCTCCCTGGTGGCTTCTACAAGACCCTTATCTTCCTTAACTTGTGTAAGCTCAAAATAGTTTTTTATTCACCCATGCACACATTCTCAACTCTCACTGCCTTTCTGGGTTGGTTGAACGATCATCACAGAGTGTCGAATTTTGAATCTGAGAATCTTAGAGGTCACTTAGCCCAAATTTCTGGTCTACCATAGGCCCCTGAGGGACACATCCCTCTTCGATTTGCAGCCTTCCCAGTAACAAAGACCTCCTCCATAAGGCATTGTTTTAAATGATGGATTATTCTCCTTTAGGAAGTTCTTCCTTTTACTGAATCAAATGTTTTCTCTCTGAGCTGTGATTGTCACATTGGCACTCCCTGAATGACTAGTGGGTCTCAGTGTTTAACTACAAATATCCTCACCTGGTCATCAAAGTCCTCTCTTCCCTCTGCCATTTCTTTTACTGATCTAGTTTTTAATGGTCTAATCTTCATTTGAAGAAAAAAAAAAACACCTTAATAACCACACATCTGACATGCCTACACTTATTTCAGAAGAAAAAGAAGGTTGATCCCTTCTCCAAATCTGAGGTCTCTAGAAGAAACCCTGGTATGGCTCTGATATTCTCCCAAAACAGAATTCTAAGCTTAGAAGGACTGGCTCATTTGTTATTAAAGGTTCATTTCCAGTATTTGACATCTGATAACCTTTTCTAATAGTTTTAATATCTTACTGAAAGTTAAACCAGAATGGATATTTTGACATGAAACCCCAAAGGAAATAGCTTTTCTATCCAAATTAACTACAAAATCAGGAAAAACTTTTAAGTGTTTCTGCAACAGACTATACAAGCTTGCCTACTGTATTTAACTGGGCTCTTCATGACATCTAGTGGTGAAACATGGGAGAGTTTCCTTTCCTCTGAAAACAGTTGACAACACCGGGAGATCATTGTAATCTTGTGTTTTTTTCCCTTGGATATTGTGTTTTGTGAAATTAGAAATTGCATTCATTTCTAATCCATTATTAATCAGATGCCCATCTGTATTTTAATCTTTTTTGTTGTTTTATATCTTCTATATTTTGGTCTAATTTCAAATCAGTCATGCCTATTTTTTTCCATAGAAATGAAAAATACCATTTTTTTTATAGAGGTAAAGAAAAGCATGTTGGATGAACATAAATAACAAAATTTTGACTTAAAAACAGCCTTTAACATTTTTCTGCATAAATGTGTCTGTCTTGAAATGTGGTTTTAAGATTTTTTGATTGCTGGGAAAGCTGTCTTGTATAGCTAACCCTGAATGCATTGTTATTCACAATTAGAAGTAGATAAATTTCACAAGCAGAGAAGCTGACAAGTCTTTAAGACTTCACACTTAGTTTTGCAGGAAGAGCTGAAGTTAATTAGAAGTGATTATACACACATTGCATGTGTGTGCGTATTTGTGTTGTTGCACGCAAATACCACAAAGGCCCTGGGAAGGTTGGGGTTTTTTTTTTAAACGTTTTAAAAATAAACATAATCTCCTTCCCATGTGTTGCTATAAGCCCAGTAAATCTAGGAAGCTCAGCAGGGTTGAACAAGGTCATTTCTTGTCAGGACTCCAAGGGGGAGCAGGAAGCAACCCTGGGCATCAGATACTGGCATCCTAATCCCTGCTCAGCACGAGCTTCCCAGGCATGTGGGACGGTCGTGCCAGCGACGACACACTGGCAGACTGAGGCTTTGACGCCAGCTATGATCAGTCTCAGCACCTTGGCTCTCTACCTACAGTGCCCCGGCACGACGGAAATGCAGTCTCTCCCTCATAAGCAAGGCAGATTTCCAACTGTGCATGTATCTTATTACTCATAAACAAGAAAGTAGTCTTAAAAACATACTGAATTATACTTTCAAAGTTCAGTAATTTTTCTAGATTTATTCTGGGTTTTGTTGAAATACATGCATGCATATGTTCATTATATATGTGTATATTGCTCTGGGTCCTTGTTGAATTTTTATATATGCATATATTTATATACATACATATCTTCATATGCATGTATATACATATACCTGGGGTCCTGTCCCTGAGCCATTTTGCTAAAGGCTAGCACTCTACCTACCACTTTGAACCATAGCTCCACTTCAGGCTTTTTGGTACTTACTTGGAGATGGGACTCTCATGGACTTGAATGACTGAGCAGGCTTTGAGTCTCAATCCTCAGATCTCAGCCTCTTGAATAGCTAGAATTACAGGCCTTGAGCCACAGGCTTCCAACAAAACATATTTTTAACATTTATATGTAACAAATGGATAAATATATTCATAGATTTAAATTCAACAAAACCTAAACGAAATGGAGATTTTGTGTTTGTGTATATTTATGTATATATCCATTGCTCTGCCACTACAAAGAATAAACCAACAAAATACTAAAAGACATTACACATGAGTGTGGACAATTATCTCCAGTAGCTCCCTGTGGGAGGCACTTGGAGACTAGGAGGTAGGGTAGAAAATGGCAATGAGGAATTACTGCTCTCCATATCCTCATATAGTCTTTTGTTTTATTATGTTTTAGCAAGGATTTATCTTAGCACAAGATAGAGAGAAATGGAGAAGGGAAGCATTCCTTCTCCCAGGGTAGAAAATGAAAATTAAAGACTCAAAATGGTAGCTCTTATCAGTACCTTTCATACTTCTTGAGCTGGGCAAATAACACTTGGTCTAGCAACTCCGAATCCTCAGACACTGATTTTGAGTAGATAAGTTGGGTGAAGCCTAATGCCCAGGACTTCTCTTTGTCCACCTTGTCTATCTCTACCCATTTACAAAGAATTCCCAGATTTTTACCATTTCAAAGAAGATAGGGCATGCCAAAACAAATGGATAAGCGGGACACCAATGGCTCAAGCTTATAATCCTAGCTACTCAGGAGGTTGAGATATGAGGATCATGGTTCAAAGCCAGCCCAGGCACAAAAGTCCTCATGAGATCTCCAATTAACCACTCAAACCGTAGTAGTGCTATGGCTCAAAGGAGGAGCACTAGCTTTAAGCACAAACAGGCTAAGGGAAAGCACCCAGGCCCTGAGTTCAGGCCCCACAGCTAACCAAAAAAAGGGATAATGTAAGTAGAGATGTATACATCTTAGAAAGAAGCCAGGCCTGGTTATATGCATTTGTAATCTCAGCTATTCGGGAGGTAAAGACACAAAATAAAAACAGATAAAGAAAAACATATATGAAAGCTGAGTATCGGGCTTATGCCAGGCTTATGCCTGGGAGGCAGAGTTCAGGAGGATCTGTTTGAGACCAACCTAAGCAAAAAATTTGTGAGACTCTCATCTCAACAAATAAGCTGGGTGTGGTGGTACATAAGGAATGATGAGATTAGGAGGATCATATTTCCCAGTTACCCCAGGCAAAAAAACTTTTCAAGATCCCATTTCAACAGAAAAAGTTGAGTGTGGTAGTATGTGCCTGTCAACTTAGCTATGATGGGAAACATAAATAGGAGGATCACAGGTCAGAGGAGCCCAGCCAAAAGCCACAACATCTCATCTCAAAAATAACCAGAGACCTGTGGCTGGGAATGTAGCTCAGTGGTAGAGTGCTTGCCTCACATTCATGAGGCCCTGGGCTCCATTCCTCAGCACCACATAAGCAGAAAAAGCCAGAAGTGGCACTGTGGCTCAAGTGGTAGAGTGCTAGCCTTGAGCTGAAGAGCTGAGGGACAGCACCCAGGCCCCATGACTGACAAAATAATAATAATAATAATAATAATAATAATAATAATAATAAATAATAAATAACAAGAGCCCTGAGTTCAAATAATAATACAAAGCACTTACATGACCCATCCTGGACTTTGATCAAATCATCTTTATGAAATTAGCCTTAAAGAGAATCAAAGAAATAAAAAGATATTTTAGAATGAAAGATAGGACAAAATTTGACTGTGAACAGAATACAGGAAAGTCCTTTAATCCTTTAATGACACCTTCAGAGTAGCTTTTTATTTCTCTTATAAAATGTTGCCAACAAAAGCTAACGCCATTTCCTCTAAATTCAGGAATGAGACAAGGATGTCTACTCTCTCCACTCCTAGCTAGAGCAATAAGGCAAGATGCAAACGTAAAGAAGATCCATATAGGGAAAAGTGAAGTAAAATTCTCCCTCTTTGCAGATGACATGATCCTATATTTATTTATTTTTATTGTGAAAATACTGTACAGAGGGGTTACAATTACATGGATAGGATAATGAGTACATTTCTTATCAAGCATTGTAGCCTCCTCCTTTGTTTCTCCTTCCCATCCCTTCCCATCCTCCCCCTGTCCCCCACCCAATCCTCCCCACTCTTCCTCCCCCTACACCAAAGTTGTAAAGTTCGTTTTCAACATAACGACTTGTACATCTCATTGTTACAGTGGGTCCACCTGTATCCCTATTTAAATGATTTGTTTTTCCCCTTCCCCTCACAAATTATATCGTCATCAAATACAGTGAAAGCAGGGGTTATACTGTGGGGGAGGGAGATACAAAGCAACAAAGAAATAATCTTATAAATGTGTTAGAAACAATCGCATGAAAGAAAAAAAAACATTTGAATAGATATCTTAGAGTTCATTTCCCTAACATCACCTTATCTGACCTTTTCTGCTTGACTCCGACATATACTAGATATTGCAAATAAGGGAAACCATGGGACCTGTTTCTTTGGGCCTGGCTTACTTCACTTAATATAATTTTTTCCAAGCCTTCCTATTTCCTAACAAATGGGGCAATGTCATTCTTTCTGATGGAGGCATAGAATTCCATTGTGTATATATACCACATTTTCTTGATCCATTCATCTACTGAGGGGCATCTGGGTTGGTTCCATATCTTAGCTATAGTAAATAGTGCTGCAATAAACATAGTCGTGCTGGTAGCTTTAGTGTGATCTTGTTTGTAAACATTTGGGTAAATGCCCAAAAGTGGGATTGCTGGGTCATAGGGGAGCTCTATGTGGAGTCTTTTGAGGAACCTCTATACTACTTTCCAAAGTGGTTGAACAAGTTTACACTCCCACCAACAATGCAGTAAGGTTCCCTTCTGCCCACATCCCCTCCAGCATCTGTTGTTATTAGAGTTCTTGATTTTAGCCATTCTAACTGGTGTGAGGTGGAATCTCAATGTTGTTTTGATTTGCATTTCTTTTATGGTTAGGGAGGTTGAGCATTTCTTCATGTGTCTATTGGCCATCCTTCTTTCCTCTTCAGAGAAGTTTCTCTTTAAGTCTATGATCCTACATTTAAAGAAGCCCATAGACTCCACTCCCAAGTTGCCAAAAATTTGGCAAAGTAGCAGGGTATAAAATTAACCCTCAAAATCAATGGCTTCTCTGTATGCCAATAATGAGAAGAGCAAAGCTGAAATCAGGAAAGCAGCTCTTTTTGTGAAAGTCTCCCTCCCCAAAACAAAATATTTCCAAATTAACTTAACCAAAGAAGGAAGGACATCTATGATGAAAACATTAAAAACCTGAAAAAGGAAATTAAAGCAGAACTAAGGAAGTGGGGAAACCTTCCATGCTCCTGGATTGGGAAGATTAACATCATGAAAATGGCAATACTGCCAAAGGCTATCTACAAACTCAATGCAATACCCATCAATATCCCAAAATCATTCTTTAATAAAATAGTGGAAGCAATTCAAAAATTCATATGGAATAATAAAAGACCCCAAATAGCAAAAACAATTATTAGCAGGAGGAACAGTACTAGAGGAATATCAATAACAAACTTCAAACTCTATTACAAAGCTATAGTAATAAAAACAGCTTGGTATTGGCACAAGCCTGAGGACCAGTGGAATAGAACTGAAGACCCAGAAATGAACCCACAGACCTATAGCCACCTAATCTTCAATAAGGGAGCAAAAAAAAAATAGAATGGAAGAAAGACGTCCTCTTCAGTAAATGATGCTGACAAAATTGGTTAAACACTGTAAAAAACTAAAATTAGATCCTTCTATATCACCCTGCACCGGAATCAACTCCAAATGGATCAAAGACATCGAAGTAAAAGCATACACCCTGAAAACATTACAGGAAGTAATAGAAAAAATTCTAGGGCTCCTTGGCATAGGTTGAAATTTTCTTAATAAAGACCCAGAAACACAACAAATCGAAGAAAGGTTGGACAAATGGGATTGCATTAAACTGCAGAGCTTCTGCATGGAAAAGAACATAGCTAGTAAGATCAGTAGAAAGCCCATGGACTAGGAGAAGATCTTCACTAGCTATACAACAGACAAGAGCCTCATATCTAAAATATACTTAGAACTCAAAAAATTAAATCCCCCAACAACAAATTCTCAAAGAAAGAACAACCCCATTAATAAGTGGGCTAAAGACTTAAAGAGAGTCTTCTCTGAAGAAGAAATAAGAATGGCCAATAGACACATGAAGAAATGCTCAACTTCTCTGGCCATAAAAGAAATGCCAATCAAAACAACATTGAGATTCCACCTCATCCCAGTTAGACTGGCTATAATCAAGAAATCTAATACAATAGATGCTGGAGGGGATTTGGCCAAAAACGGAACCCTATTACACTGTTGGTGGGAGTGTAAACTTATTCAACCACTCTGGAGGTTCCTCAAAAGACTACACATAGAGCTCCCCTACAATCTAGCAATCCCACTTCTGGACACTTGCCCAAATGATCACAAACAAGACCATACTAAAGCTAACAGCACAACTATGTTTATCGCAGCATTATTCACCATAGCTGAGTTATGGAACCAACCCAGATGCCCCTCAGTAGATGAATGGATCAAGAAAAAGTGATACACACATACACACACACACACACACACATACACACACACACACACTGGAATTCTATGCTTCCATCAGAAAGAATGATACCATCCCATTTGTTAGGAAATTGAAAGATTGGAAAAAAACATATCAAGTAAGTCAGACCCCCAAAAAATATAGGTCCCATAGTTTCCATCATTTGCAATAATTAGTATATATCTAGGATAATTTTATCAGATGAACAGAAAAAGCTCAAAAGCTATGTACATATGACCACATAAGATGATGCTAAGTGAAATGAACCCCAAAATATGGACATGAGATCTTTCTTTGTTGTTGTTGTTTTTAATGTATCATTGTTTCCTTTGTATGTTCTTTCCCCCTATGGTATATTCCCTGTTGTCACTGTACTTGATTTTGGTATCCTGCGTCTTGTATATACATTTGTTTAATTTGGGAAGGGGAAGGGGAATAACAAAATGCTGAAACAAGGACACAGGATGACCCACTGCAACAATGATACCCACAAGACAGTATATTGGAAATGAACTTTACAACTTTGGGCAGGGGAGGGGGGGAAGAGTGAGAGAGGTGGAAGAAGGAAGGGATAATGGGAGAACAACAAGGGAGTGGGTAACAATGCTTGACAAGAAATGTCCTCATTGCCTTGCTCATGTACCTGTAACTCCTCTGTACAGCATCTTTACAATAAAGTAAAACTTAAAAAAAAGACTACACATAGAACTTCCCTATGACCCAGCAATCTCACTTCTGGGCATTTACCCAAATGACCACAAACAAGGCCATACTAAAGCTATTATTTACCATAGCAGCATTATTTACCATAGCTAAGATATGGCACCAACCCAGATGCCCCTCAGTAGATGAATGAATCAAGAAAATGTGGTATATATACAAAATGGGATTCTATGCCTCCATCAGAAACTATGACATTGACCCATTCATAAAGAAATGGAAAGACTTGGGGAAAAATCATATTAAGTGAAGTAAGAGAGACCTAAAGAAACATAGATCCCATGGTTTCTTTCATTTGAAATAACTGGTATATGTTGAGGATAGTCCTAGAAGATGAGCAGAATAGCTCAACAGCTATGTACATAGAACCATATAAGATGATGCCATGTGAAAGAAATTCCAGCCATGGAAAGAGGAGGTTTTTCTTTGTTATTATTGTTTTCAATGTACTATGTAATTTCTTTTTTCTTTTGTGTTTTTTCCCTATGGTTTATCCCCTGTTGTCACTGTATCTGATTTTGGTACCCTGGGTACTGTATATACACTTATCTGAATTAGGGAAGGGAAGGGGAACT